CCTTCCATGAGATATTTCCATCATCTACTTTCCTTCCCCATTCCTACCTGAATAAATTAACCCCCTAGTAGGACTCCTCTTCCAGATCATTTTTTCAAGGAGTTCCCTAGAGTCTCTCTATTGGGCCCTCCTTTTCCTCACAGTATGAATCACAAGTGGTCAGCTCTGACTGTTGATCAGGCTCCAACACAGGAACAGCACCCAAGCCCACTGCCTCCTGTTGAGTACCTCTCACTCCCAGGGTTTGGGGCACCTGGAAGGATGAAGTCGCTCCCTTGGGGTAGGGCAGAGCGGGTGTCACCTTACATGGTGAAGTCCTTCTCCTCCTTGATGCGTTCAATGTTGTGTCTGAGCACTGTGTTCTCATGCTCTGTCTCCGCTAGTTCATGGGCCACCTCTTCTAATTCTTCTTTCCGTTCCTCCAGGAACCTTTTTGCCATCTGGCGCTCACCCTTCTGCATCTTGACCTGTGCAGGGGTACACAGGCAGGGGTCACTGAGGAGAGGCTCTCTCTTGATACCACATTGCTAGGCCCAAACTAATGCCTCTCTAGTTAAGAGCACATGGATGCAGTATGGGGGGTCTCATGGGATTTAGAGAGCAGTCAATGAATTACCACAAACTCTCCCAGAAGATGCTATCCCTCTCATTTTGTGGATGAGGAAACTGAGTGACCTGCTGGTTGGGGATGGAGTTAGGTTGCAACAGTGGTTCAGTTGGCGTAATATAGAGGACAGACGTCACAAAAAGGCCCTTGCACAGTAGGCTACAGGGGCAAGCAGGCCTGTTGCCAAGCAGCCAGCCCTAGGTTCTCTGGGAAGGTCCCTGGACCATGAGCATAGAGTTGAACCTGAACACAGGTCAAGTCAGCAGCCAGGACCTGGCTTCCAAAATCAGCCCCACCAACTTCCTGGATAGGGACCTTAGACATTCAGAGTTCTGTTTCCCCAAGGACAGCCCTGCAAACTTCCTTTGTCTCCCTGGGCCTTTTATTATTTCAACTTCACAGGCTGTCCACATTAAGCATTACGCAAGCTAAGTGCTCCACAAAGCCATTTTGTAGGAATCCAGGTGGACCCACAACTCCTCCTCAGGTGGTGCCTTGTGACATCCAGGACAGTGTTACTGAGGGTAAGAGGCCTATTAAGAGGCAGCTTGAGTAGCCAAGTCCACTAGTAACCAGCCTGGGCTGCCTCCACAGTCCTAGGGGCACTAGCTGTCCTACTCCCTCACCTCCCTTACCTCAGACTTGAGGCAACCAACCGCGTTCATTAGACTGTCAATCTTCTTATCATAGTGGTTCATTTTACAGTGACCCGAGTCGTCATCTTCGGTAGAGAGATCACTTAAGCGCATCACTGAGACCAGCTTTTCTGAAGATGGAGGTGTGATCTCCAGGCAATGAGGTGGAGTCTAGTGTCAAGGAGGAGAGACGCGTGAGCTCCCAAGTCCAAACCTCAGCAGCAGTTCCAGCGCAGCTATTTGTTCACTGGAGATTTGTCAACTGCTGAAGCAGGAAGATCTAAAACAGCTCTAAGCCAGCCCCCAGGGTCCTGCCTTAGAAGACCACCACTCCACACTCTCCCCATGGAACATTACCCACCCACTTCTAAAAGTTCTTTTCAAAGAATTTCTAACATCAAAAGAAACAGCTTAGGTTAGAATGCTAAGTTTAAGACAAAGAAATTCAGGTGTGTTTGGCACATGTTTGTAATTCTAGCTACTCAGCAGGCGGGGGCAGAGGACTGTTTGAGGCCACCCTGGGCAACAGAAAGAGACCCAGTCTTTTTTTTTTTTTTTTTT